GCCGATGGGGTCTGAGTTCGAGTCGGGTGTCATTGAAACAGGCTATCGACTGACCCAATCAAATCAGACAACAGCCAGTCCGAAACTCTGTCACTCCAAACGTCCCAACAAGCAGAAATTGTTTGGCAGCACCCATGGTATCGAATAGATCACTCGAGGGTACAGCCAGCTGACAGACAAGAGTTTCCATTCGTTGAACACCTCTGCTCGTGATAACAGGGCCTCAACAGAGACTGTCTGCAACTGCAGAGGTGCCCACTTCAAACAGACACGGCGTAAGTGCTCGCTCGCATCATGAAGCTGTGGAGTAGCTGTGGTGCTGGCATCTAAATTGCACAACACCCTCCCTGAAGCCAGTAACCCGAACGCAAACATCTCGAGGCTGAAGCATGCCACCGAAAACCTGACTGCATTGTAGGCATCGTCCCCGTCGTCCCAAAGCGGCCATGGCCGGGTGAACCAATGCCTCGTGGTAGAAGTCCTTGGCTGCAGAATGTTTCGGAGATCGTGTTAGGCTTTGCGGTTTGGGTTCGGCGGTATGCCTAATCTATATCTGTGACCGCATCTCCATGTGCAGCAGATTTTACCATCCCCTTGCTGACGTCGTCCTTCATGCACGAGGGCGCATGACCACCCACACAGGTACACTGCGTGTGACAGTGTCTTTCACTCTTGAAGACCCTAGTTGCATCGGAACAATGCATCAGGCGATGACTCCTACAAGTCGACTAGGTAGGTACGAATATGTACCAATGCCTGAAGACCACAGCACAAAAGCGACAAAACTTCTATGAAGGGCTGAGAATCTCCGAAGACGTTCGTGAGCTGGAGCTCCTGAGGGCATGGCAGAAGCGCTTAATTTCCGAAGATCGAGGCGACAATGACTCACTAACTAATTGGGCATGTGTGCCTGGACCTAAACCCTTGCGTGGCCTCACTGTGCATGAACCCTTTTGCTACGGTTGTGGGCTTGTGGGCCTCGTCCAGAAACAGCGCGGTGCAGCTTGAGCTGGGCTCCTCGACATTATTCGGAGCTGTAGCTTAATCTTGGAAAAACATCGCTGTGTCTTTTTCTCTTGGTGCATCTGCATACTGACTTTGCAAGATGCTGCCAGCAGCTTCTCTGCAATCCTACTGTCTTTCGCTCCGAACTGCTCACTAATTATCAATGACGATAGCCCACGGGCATCACACATCTTAAACAATGGCCAATCAACTCAGGCACGCAAATCGTCCCCGTTCCTCTGCGACATTGAGCTTCTGGTACGGCGTCGTCTTGTCTAGCAGGGGCCTTCTAAACGGGTTTGCATGCCCATGGCAATGACGGCCACGTCCACCAAACAACATGTGTGCTGGACTGGTGAGCAGCCCACTCTGGTTTTGACAACAGCCCTGACCCATAAGGCCCATAACGCCCAATCAAAAGCGCGCCAATGATTGCTGCCCCACATGAACACATGCATCCCCTCCCAAGAGGCAGCAAGTAGGGTTACGTACCAGTACCATCATGTACCATCAGACTTTGGAACTAAAGGATCACCTGTCAAGGCTAGAATGCGGTGCAGCAGATTCAGCACCACAGCTTGCCACCAGGGACACAGGCACCCAATGGCATCCTGCCCTCTTGATAATAAAACTGCTAATCCTAACTCGGACTCAGAGGCGAGACTCTCGAGACCTTCGAGATTCGGGCTTGAGACTTCCGGCCCAAGAGTGCCAAAGACTAAGAGTTTCAAGATCGAATCAGCCTTCCTCTCAAAACTACTCCAATTCAAAGCGACAGGCATCCCGGACCAAGTCTTGAAGCCCGAACCAGTTGCTAAACGGCAGCCTTCCAAAGTGCTTTTGGCTCCTGTACCTCGGCTGGTCGGGGACCATGCCGGCACCAAGCCAAGGCAAGCCAGGAGCACTGCACAAGAGCGTACGCGCTCGATCAAATGGACCGTCCACGATAGCATCAGCCCAGACAACAAAGAGCGATCTCGGGGGCTGTACAGTAGGGCTGTGGCTCGAATGTCGGGCTTTGCTTTGGAATTCCGGTGCCCGGTTCTTCTGGATCATTTTTGGGGAACGCTTGGGCGACCTCCGGACTCAACTTCCAAGAACATCGGGGTGCGTCGGAATGTCTTGCCTAAGACTGCCCGATGCCGAAGTTCTGGACACGCAACGGTTTAGACCCGCAGCCGATTCAGTCCGGCTGGCGCGGGAACAGCACCAATCCATAAACTTCCTTCTCCAAGCTCTGCTTTCAATCATTTCCCTGAAAAGGCAGATTTGTACTATGCCAAACTCGAACATGTGCAGTTGATAGCGAGTCCCAGACATGGCTTCCTTTAGCCTGTGTACATAACACGAGTTGCCCTGCATGGCCCTGCATTGTGCGGGCAAGATGCCTGCAAAGCTTCTGTGGCGCCAGAGCAGGGGCGACTTGGTCAGGGGACTCCTTCGGCGAGTTGGCAGCCACCAGATCCGGCCAAGGAGGTATCGTCAGCCTCGGATCGTATTCGTATTGCGAGGCTCCGAATCGGAGCCCTCGGAGTGACTCGGAATGACTCTCATGACCGCGTAGCCCCAGAATCTGGCTCAAGGTTCTTGATGGGGCAAGCAAAGCCTCATTTTGCAGGCCCCGCTCTGTCACTGTTGGCTCCGGAAACCTGTATAAACCCTGGGCCCTCTGACTCTGTGATCCAGGCGTGATGAAGCTCTGGGGTGTAGAAGCAAGTCTCGAAGGCTTGAAGCCGAAACCAGGTCTGGTTTGGCATGGAGATATCTCCATCACCAGCCACGAAGGCCTCAGCGGAACCAAGGGCAACTCCGCAGCAGCTTTGCTTCAAACCACGCGGAAGCTTCGGTCTGCCCTGCTCACCCGTGTGAACTCAACCAAGCTGCTACAGAGTGCCCCTGCTCCGGGCTGTTGTCGGGCGCCGAGTGTTGCAGTGTCCAAATCTTCCGGAAGGAGCTCTTCAAGACTGAATATGCCTCCTTCCAGACACGGGAAAGGTCGCCCAAAGAACTTGCTTTCGCTTACATTCTCGGCATGTACTTGCCTTGCCATTTTGCTCTAGGTCAACGTCGAACTCTACGAACTCCAGAGCTTCAGGAGCTGCGCAAGCAGTCCAGGCTGGGCGTCTGTGCGGCTTTGTTTGTAGCTCTGCTCTGCATGCCCGGAGTTCGGAATCATGAGCCATCTTGCAGTTGCCAGAAAGTCTAGAATTTTGCATCGGCTTGCCTCAAAAATCGTGCCGCTTGTTGCTGCTGGGAGAAAGGTATCAAACCTCGAGCTATCAGGCCACGTCCTGGAGGTTGCGAGGCTTTCGCAGAATGCCGGCAGATGCGACGAGCAAACCACTTGAAGAGAGGAGCTCACCTGGAAGCGACGCGCTGGCCCAAATTTCGAAGCGATCGGAGCTTGAGGACAACTCGCGCCAAAATCTGACGAATCTTCGACTTTCTTGGTCCTATATAGGGAGGATCACTTGGTTTTTCCCGGATGTTTCTCAAGTCCCGAAGTGGTCTTGTCAGGTCTTGTCTCATAGATGCGGC